GGATGGAAATTTACTCGAACACGCTGTTTTTCAACAGCGCGGATTTTCAAACTGGAAAACACGAAAAACCGCCGCGAGTTGATCAGAGTTTGTTATTTCACAGGGTATATTCTTCTAGCCGATTGCTCTGCGCTCTGCCGCGTATTTTCACGATTAATGACATTTTCGGATTATTGTGAGAAAATACGAGGAGACACGCGACGCGTACAACAAATTTACAATTTCGAAGCTCAGATTTGCCGATGAACAAAATTAATACGGTAGGAAGCGATCGCGTCGTTTTGCAGTCAATCATTTCTAAGAAACAACAGGTTCATACAGATGTGAGACCTTTATAATATAATATTATAATGTTAATATAAAACTAAACGTCTCTCCGTCTCTTACCTACACACTTTTTAGTTACGGATATAAAAAAAATTAGCGTATATATTACTACTGAGAGGCTTTTGTTTCGTTTTTTTTTTTTTAATTATACGATAATGTATATGTGAAAAATTTGTTATTGGTCGGAAAATTGGTTGGAAAATGAGAGGCTGTTGTTTTGCCTTTTTTTTAATTGTATCATAATATACGTGTAAAAATTGCTATCGATTGAAAAAAGAGATTATCTTGGACTCTATAAATCACTTTATTAACAATAAGATGAAGAAAAGTAAGCGCTAAATAGCTATCGATTATAGTCAACGCTGATACTGCGAAGGCTAATATTGCAGGCTTAAATTGGAAAGTGGCGACCGTTCGCTCGGCACTTAATCCGTTCCACCGCCATCGGATCTCTCTGCGAACGTCTCCCAGTATCGTGTATTGCCAATAAAGATTAAGTATTCATCGAATGCGACGGAGCAATTAAAGCGCCCAGAGAGACGCGAATTGGCGTCTGCCGCGTGTAGATGACACGCTGTTGCGTTCAAAGCGATTCGAACTTCGTTCTTCGAGGGGATCGGCCAATTAATATCGAGTTTTGCCGATCTCCCGTGAAACTCGCTGTACATTCCCAGCGAACAAACCTGAAGGCTGACTCTAATGATTAATTACAGTTAAGGGAAGACTTTGATTGCGGTCGGGAGACCAAAATCGGTCCCGACCAGTGTCCTCACGACGTGGCCACTCTCCTGAAGGAATATTTCCGCGATCTACCGGATCCTTTGCTTTGCAGGGATCTGTATCAGGCCTTCGTGCACACTCAAAGTAAGCAAGGATCAGGCTCTAATCTGACATAAGCCGCTTAACAGGTTTATCCTCCTCCCCCAGCTTCGCTCTCTCGTAACCTAAGGAAGGAGAGCTTGCATCTCCGGTCTGCACTACGGTCCTGCATTTGTTCCTCTTCGAAGAAAAAGAAAAAAAGAAAAAAGTGAATGTGAAGGAAAAGAAAAATTAGCTTTTACGCTGAGGTGTCGATTGTTTTCGCCGCTTCCTTCCTTCCTTCCCGTTCGTTCCTCCCTCTCTCCTCCCTCTCACGATTCCCTCGAGGCTGCGAATTTCCGATCTCCTTTGCCTCCGCGGCCGGCGCATAATAATAAGCGGACGGTTCGACTGTTTTGCAGAGATCAGGAACAGACGGCTGCAGCAGGAAGCTCTTCAGCATCTCATTCAACTTCTACCCACGCCCAATCGCGAGACTCTCTGGGCGCTCTTGAACTTTCTGAGCTTGGTCGCGGCGAACAGCGAGGACCAGAAGGACGAGACCGGCGAGTGGGTCCCGGGAAATAAAATGGATACGACGAATCTTGCGACCGTCAGTACTCGTGACACTTCTTCGCTTTGATTTCTTTCCGATATCCGAGCGCCCGTCTTGCGCGCTGCGGCGTCTTGCAGCTCGTTGCCTCTTAGCTGACACACGCAAGCGAAATTCGAGAGAGAAAGAGAGAGAGAGAGAGAGAGAGAGAGAGAAGGCTCTTCCATCTCGGTTGTGTTCTTTACTCGATTAATCATCGAGCTCGACTAATTTTGTGGATCAAAAAAGCCGAGTCGATGTCTCCTTTTCCTTTTCTCCGTACCTCTCTGGTTGACGTTTTTTTTTATTTATCTGTGATAACAAATCTCGGTAACTCGTGTTGCAGAGAACAGGCGGAAATTCGATGATGAGAAACGATATCTCTGTTACCGAAAACAATCTGAACGATAATTGACTGAGTAGGTACCTTTTACGAGAATTTTTCTGTTTTTACGCACGAGTTTTCGCCCGGTCTCCGAGCAATAGAAAATTCAATTACACTATTGAACTTGTTTTTCTTACTTGTCCGGGAATAAGATAGTCCAGAATTGAATCTACGCGTCCTTAATTACACACACACATACACACACACACACACGCGCGCGCGCGCGCAGATCGAAAGATTTTATAAATATTTCATTTATCCAGACGAAAAGCTAAAAATCTTATAAATTAAGAAACGTTCGCTCGACAGGTCGGGCTAAAAGTGAACTTCGGTCGGCGCTTCACGTGAGGTCAAAGTCCCAGGATATTTTACGGTCGCGTGATTAATTAATTCTGCAGCCGATCAGCCGTCGCGCGGCGAAACGCGCCAGTTAAATTAGAAATCAACGCGCCATGTGTGCGCGTGCACACATGAGAAACGTCCGATTCCGAATGAATTTTCAGGTGTTCGCGCCGAATATCCTGCACTGCGTGAAGCCCGGTCAGGTGAGGTCGGAAGTTTCGGCGGAGCGGGCCGAGGAGAGGATAGACGTGATAAACGTGATGCGAGCGCTGCTCGAACACACGTCGACGCTGTTCACGGTGCCGGCTGCGCTGTTGGATGAAGTGTACCTGCATATGATGGACACCCATCCGGCCGAGCTGGATCTGGTTCTGTCTCGTCGCGTCGAAGAGTGAGTGTCGCGTTTATTGTGTCGCACAGGCGATCTCGTTTTGCGCATTTCGCGCGGCGAAAACAGTGACCTTCGGATCTTCGAACTTATTCCACTGAGAAAGAAGCGTTACACCGCCATGTATTTTCTGAAATTTCTATTGACTTAGTTTCTGCAATTTTCTTTGTCGTTGGATACACTTTTCTCTTGTTCTTGCAGCCGAAAAACAGTAATTTCAGAACAAGCGGAATCATCTAAGTTTTAGAGGATTTTATTCTTATATATGGCCTCAAGAGGATTCCTCTGAGATTAAGAGGAAAATATTATAAACACATTATTCTTAAAGTTAGAGAAATTATATGTACAATGCGTGTCTTATTGATTTTAATATAAATTTCCTTTTATACACAGTTGTTGTATTGTTCAATCTTCTTTTGAGAGGATTATTATTTATTCTTATTCTACTTTATTCTTACTAGTTATAGCAGTTGATTTGAAAAAAAATTATTATAATGTATAGTGAAAAGTAATATATAACTGATTTCAGTTCTATAATAAGTAGACACGAATGAAATAAGATCATCATGAACAAATAAATTTCCAATCAGTTTTGTTTGTGGACTTCATAGCTACAAAGGTGTTCATAATAACCAATTGTATGAAACATAGCTAAAAGAAAGAATATATTATTCAACTTCTTGCAATAGATTATAAATTGTATTTGGCCAATTATCGGCGAGTAAATTATCTTCGTTATATGTTACAGCAACACATATACCTTTTTTAAAAATCGTTCCAAATATTCTGACCCATGAGCATATGGTTATTTTTTCGTTCGTGTCTGGAGGTAGAACATGGCTGAACAAAAGAAGCCGACATTCAAATCAACACATTCCTCTTCATATTAGAGGAAAATTAATTGATATAGAAGAAGAAATCCTGCTGAAATGAAAGGAAAACAGAATAATATCTAATAAATTTTAGATCAATGCTTCACTTTAATCGCTTGATCGAAAGAGGAATCCTTTTTGCTGTAAAAGGCTTCGCTTGGAACATGAGACTGTGGGAAAAATCACTTTACAAATAGAATACTTTTTTCGGGTGTACATATCGAAGATATTTAAGGTAGTTATCGTCTCACGTCCTGCATAACAGGCTCATTGTTTTTGGTTGAATTTTGCGCTGCGCTTTAAAGCGAAGCGAATATATGTGATCTAAGCTAAGTTGAGCGGGGAAAAGGACAAAGCCCGCCAGTACAGGTTTCCTCAGCTCAGCCGAGAAGAAACACAAGTTTAATATCGCAGAAACATGTTACATTCGTTGCACCTGATAAAAGAGGACACTTTTCATCTCGGGGTATCCGATCGACCGACCGATCGACGCGCTCACAGAGCGTAACGATGTTTTTCCCCGCGAGCCGTACTCTAGAAACGTCAGGATGAGAAAGCCGAAAAGGAACATTCCGAAACGTGATCTTGCAGGCAATGCGGGGATGAAGCGGATCCCTGCAGCGAGGCGGAGACCTTCTCGGTGGAGGAGACGCTGACTACGTCGACTACAACCACCGCGGCAACGACGACGTCGACGAGGAAGGTGCTACCGATCGTGCATTTTCAATCCGCTTACGTATATACGTTACAACTCGCGCTCGCGAGCGATAGAAGCGAATGAGGAAGAGGTGTGCCACCGGGTGCCACTTCGGCTTCGAATTTGGCTCTTCGTTCGTAGATTTCACGCGCCGTCACGAAGGAATACGTGAGAGATCGTATCTAAAATTGTCTTCGCAAATGCGCTCTGTGCGGCACTTTGCGGCACCGCATCGCTTCGTTCGTTTCGTCGAATTTTACTGGGACGTGTCTGGGCCGCTTAGCAACGAGAATAAAATGTCGCTCGTTGTCGTGCAATCTTGCTTCGTCGTTTTATCAGCGGCTCGTCGGAGCGTCCGTCGAACGTTTAACCGTCCATCTTTCGCCGATTTTCATTCATCTCTGTTATCTTTCATTTGTCTTTATTAACCGCGCCTCTTTTTATCAATAGCAACGAAACGGTACACGCGCACCATGTTCAATCAAAATGTCCGTCAGCGTCGCTCGTCGTTTTTTGCCGCCTCTCACGGATAATTGCTCGATTCATTTCTCTCATCTATCGCGCCCGCGATATCGGAATCCAACGCCCGATCCGTCGGACTTTTGCAAATACATTCTGATACATTTTTGCACAACTTAGTCAAGTATAGTTAAACTTACAAAAAATATAAAATATTTATCAAAGGAGAAAGAGAGAGAGAGAGAGAGAGAGAGAGAGAGAGAGAGAGAAAGATGGATGGCGATACGTCATCATAAAAGATACACTTACTCTCTAAATATTTACAGTCATTATTTAAAAGAGTGCGAGACTCGTTCGGAAATCATACGGTGTTCTTGCTTCAGATGTGGACGAGAGAGCAGTGTCTCCACCAAACCGCCGGGGTCGGCGGTGATATCGGACCAAGGCCACGACGGCCCAAGAGACCAGGAAGTCGGAGGAAAGAGGAGGGTAGGAGCAACAGTGTCGATAGCGGATCGAGCGAGGATCCGGCCGATCCTCGCAGGAGATCTTCGCCAATAGTGATTACCGCCAGTCTCACCATACCCATGTCCGACGCGTTCACCTTGAACCTCGACGACCCGGACATTCCTTACATCGAAGAGGCGCCGAAGCAACCGAGCGCTCCCCCGAGGCGGCAGAGGCAGAGGTCCATTTCCGGTTGCAGCGAAGGTTTGTGTCTCTCGCGTAATTCCGGCAAAGTCGTTGCGACGAACATAGATGGTCGTAAAAGTACTTCGAAATGCGCTCTGAAGTGGACTTCAGGGAAGATACAAAGGGGAGTGGTGCAGTGGTGGATAAATAAATTGCGCTTATTACGTAGTTTGTTGGGAAATCGTGCGGTTTAACTTTCGATGAAATTAACGCGCGAACGATTATCCGTGATATTAATTTGCGCGATTACTACGCGATTATTACTAATTGGACGTTGAGTCGACATTATAAAATTATATGTCAAGTGATAAAATCGAGCGACCTGCGAACTTTCCACAAACTGTCGGGCAAATTTAATCAAAGTCGTGTAATCGAAAGTGGCAGATACAAAGTTATCGGTGAATCATTGTTTCTCCAACAAGAGATTACCTTGCGAAATGTTTACCGTATTGCCGCGAGGTGACTGACCGACAGTTCATATTCAATCAAGGCGTGACTCAGACCTACCTTCCACATTTACGGTATATTCATTTTTTCCCTTCGCCATCGAAGCAATCGGGAAAGAGAAAGAGAGAGACAGAGAGAGAGAGAGAGAGAGAGAGAGAGAGAGAGAGAGAGAGAGAGCATTGTTCTTATATTTATTATATTTATTATTATATATTATTATATTTTATTATATTATCATATTTATTATTATATTTATTATTATTATAATTACCTATTATTATATATTTATTATTAGGAGTGTAATTTTTGAGTTTTGAGGATTTTGCAAGAAATGGCACTAATGTCAGTTTTGTCGAAGATATTCCAATCACAGTTATTGCTTCTTAATGCTTTAATATTAATCCGTGATATTTAGTCATTTACCAGCAATAGACGCAGTAAAAAACCATCTTAAAAATGGAGCTTCCTAAAGTAGTAGTACCTTCGACATACGTTGCTCTTGTTTTTTAATCAGAAGAAAACGGCGGCTAAAGGCCACAGAATTCTGACAGAAACTTACGGTGATGTTGCTCCATCAATTAAAACATCTAAATATTTTTTTAGACGATTCAAAAATGGTGATTTCAATGTTAACGACAAAGATCGCTCGGGACAACCAAAAAAGCTCGAAAATGCGGATTTGCATGCCTTATTGGACGAAACTCCAGCACAATCCACTTCAGAACTTGCCAGAGCATTAAATATTGATTGTGCAACAGTTACTAAACGTTTATATAATATGGGAAAAATTCAAAAAGAAAAAAAAATGGATTCCACATCAATTATCGGAAAATGCCGTTGCAAACCGGTCGAACATTTGCATTTCGTTGATCGCACAAAAAATGAAGAGTTTTTTGTATCGAATTGTTATTGGGGATAAAAAATGGATCTATTTCAACAATCCCAAACGAAAAAATCATGAGTTGATCCAGGTCAATCAGCAACATCCACTTCGAGGTGCAATATTCACGATTCGAAGGTATCGCTGTGTATTTGGTGGGACGAAGAAGGTGTTGCATACAATGAACTGTTAAATCCGAATGAAACTGCTGTCATCGCTGATCGTCATCGACAGTAATTATAGAAATTGAAGCGAGAATTGGACGAAAAACGATCAGCAATCGCGAGTAAACGACGCAAAGTGATCCTTCTTCACGACAATGCTCGACCTCATGTTGCATTATCAGTGAAGCAACCGCTATTGGAGCTGGAATGGGAAGTCTTACCCCCCCTCCCCGCACTCCGCGTATTTCCCAGACATTGCTCCATCCGATTATCACTTGTTCCGGTCGACCAACGTGCTCTAGAGGATACATACTTTCATAACTTCGAGCAAGTGTCGAGAAAATCTCCGAGAAAATTTGTTGAAAATTGCATCAACCCCAAAGATGAATCTTTTTATCGTCGCGGAAACCATCATCTCTCGAGAGAGATGGGAAAAAGTTGTAGGAAACGAAAAAAAAAAGAAGTCGATGGAGGTATTCGTTCATTATCTCGTTCAAGTAAATCAGTTTTTGCGAAAAGAAACCCTCAAGGCTAAGTCACACTCTTAATATCCGGGAATTTAATCAACAATAAATGCCGGGAGAATCGCGAGTCTGAGAGTGTGGAAGTGTTAAAAGTCAATGCACCGAAATTCCAGGCGGCAGACACGGAAGTGACAGCGCCGTGGGCTCCTCGGCGACCCTGTCGGGCGACCAGGCGCCGAGCTCACCTCCCTCCTGGGCGTCGTCACCCCCCGCGAGCCCCGACAGCGCGGTCACCGCCGTTTCGTACATCCCGCAGGATCAGCAGGCGGTTCTCCAGAGAGTCTCGTTCACGACCTCGGGCGACCTGCGGCAAGTGAGCAGATCGACCAGCCAGGAAGTGAGCAGGAGTACAGCGGCTCCGTACACACCGAGCATCACTAGCATCGGCGGTGCGGTTTTGAGGTGAGCATCTTGTTGCCTGCATGCTTGCATACCCACCTGTCTGCTTGCCGGCTTGCTTACCTGCCTGCCTGCCTGCCTGCCTGCCTGCCTGCCTACCTGCCCGCCTGCGGTTATACCGCACCAACTGCGAACCAAAGGCGATTTATTCGACGAGTATGAATAAACTGAAGCATGGACGATCTCCTCCATGCACGGCTTTCCTCCACGTCTCTCCGTCGTGTTTTCTTTTCACTACACAGACGTTTCTTTGATTTTTGACTAAACACCGATGTGTAACGTAGATGAGAACGATCTGACGACGGAAAGTCTCTATCGGTCGTTTATCTTATAACCTGAGCGCCGCGCGGGGAGGCAGTCACTAACTCGCAAGAGTTGCCTCGCACGTCGACCGAAACCGCGACGTTGCACCAGCTATTCCGCGGTTTGCCCTCGCGACTTACTAACCGCCGGAGTGTGCAAGATAAATGCGAAGCGAATGCGACACGAAAGTCAGCAAAAGTCTCGCAAAGCGCAAGTAAGGCGGCTTCTCGCGTGATTCAGGTCCAAGACCGAGGATATCGAGAGAATGCTGCAGATCGCGCGGCCGGATATCGATCCTGCGACCTTGCAGCCGGGCAAGAACTCGACGGTGACCTCGAGCGAGAGCAAGAAGTACACGAAGCGGCGGTACACGGACTCGAGGCATCAGACGCGCCACATACCGGACGCCAACACCCTGGCCGGCAAGACTCCGTTGAGCGGGTCGTCCGCGTCGTCGATGACGATGTCGTCCACCTCCTCGTCGACGATGACGGCCGCGTCGAGCCAGCGAGTGCCGGCGCAGTCAGTGTGGAAGAGGCGGGAATTGATCTCCAGTGCTCCGAAGGACAGGGAGGGATACTTCTGAGCCGTCGCTCGCGCGCGCGCGCGCGACCATCGCGAATCGAGAGTCGAAATCGCGCTGGCCGCTGCGAATCCCCGGCGATGGGATTCCCCATCGCACGGACTCCAGCGGACGTTCGACTGCAGACTCGATGGCCGCTGTCAGAGAGAAGCACGATCACACCGCTCGATTGCCAGGTGTACGTGTCATGTAAAGCCCGGGCCAACCGAGCCCGGCACACCTGGTCGACCTGGAAATCGATGTGACTCGGGCTCCCCCGGGAGTCCGGAAAATTCGTGGGAGGACGCGAGCGAATTTCTCCGTCATTCGTCGTCGCTACGCGTCGTCGCTCCGGCTCGCCGTAGCGACGACGCTTTTTCAAAACGCGAACATCGCGTGTGTCTGTCGAGGAAAAACTCTGGAAAGTTTCCTCCCCTTCCCTCAACCTCTCTCTCTCTCTCTCTCTCTCTCTCTCTCTCTCTCTCTCTCTCTCTCTCTCTCTCTCTCTCTCTCTCCCTCTCTCTCTCTCTCCCTCTCCCTCTCTGTGTCCCTCTCTCCCCTTTTCTTTCCTCTCGACCGAACTCGACGGAAATCCGTCGTACGGATAAAAGCGGGAGCGCGCGGGGAGATTTATCCGTGGATTATACAACGGCGTGTATTCTCCATAAATACGCGCATATGCGAGGCGACATCCCGAAGCAAGGGGCAGCTTACTTTATACTTTTGTACACTCTCGCGATGAGAGACGGCGATGTCGCCCTAGGCGCAAGCGGGAGAGCCCAGGAAGGCGCGCGCTGCGAGGGAAGAGAGCTCATCGCGAATGTATACCGCTCGCGTGTTTACAAACGTTCGCGCATACATATTAAGCACGCGAAGCGTAAACTGTCCTCGGAGAGCCTTCATCTTGCCGCTCGCTAAGAATACCGTCGATCGAAACGACGGCCAGGGAGAAGGAGCTCCTGAAGGGGGAAAAAAATTGCCCCGCTATCGAAACGTTGTCTCGTTGCTTTTTCTCCAGACATCGCTTCGCCATTTTCAGGGTTTCACTGATATGCGTGTCATGCATAATACAGCGAACGTTATCCATGATTTTCCATTTGGAATTCGGACATTGTGGACGAAACATAACGAGTGCTATACGGTGAATAAATATTCAGCACGAGAGCTTCCGGAGGGGGAGAGAGAGAGAGAGAGAGAGAGAGAGAGAGAGAGAGAGAGAGAGAGAGAGAGAGAGAGAAATCTCGCCATACGGCCGTATTTCTGTCGGTTCGAGATTGTGAATCATTCTCCTCCGACTTGAAATTCAGAAGAGGATTGAAGTTGTCGCGAAGCTCCAGCGTGCACGAATGGAGCACGCCGACACAGGTGATCTCGCTCGATCGCTCGGATAAACGAGGACAAAAAGTTGTTTCCCTCTCTTACCCGATCGAATGAATATAAATCCCACGCGTTCTCTTCCCTCGCAACGCTGCCTTCGCGCGAAGACGCAACCCCGTCACTCTCTGACCGCCGCTTCGGGTTGCGAATTGTCATTCATCCTGAGGAGAACGCGCTCTCCCTTGCTCGATAATAACGCATCTCCGACTTCACGCACAGCCGATTTCACGTCTCGATTCGCGCGACCGGCGACGGGGTAGTCACTGCCGATCAGGCGTGGCCTGGACAAGTGTTCCTCGTGCACGAACGGGTGTCCTTCGTGGTGCGTTGTTGGTCCGTTGGTTCCTAGACTACCGTCCTGCCAGCCGCGACCAGATCGCCGTTTTCGCAGGAGACGGCGACGGCGTCTTATCGACCAGCCGCGAGACCAGACCTTGACAATGCCGGAAGCGGCTTCGGCTCGGCAGGACGGGCAAATTCGCACGGAATGCATGCTAAAACGTTACCTCTCCCTCCTCTGTCCCTCTGTCTGTCTGTCTGTCTGTCCATCCATCTCCCTCGCGGAATTGCTGATCGTCGCGAGATCGAGCTCTGGAAATTTGATCATTGCTCGCTGCACTCGCCCGATCGCGGTGAGGAGAATCGAGAATCTTGAAATTAATTTTCGCCTCTCGTATATTTACCCTCCTTCCATTTCGCACGAACTCATTTCTGTGTCCCTCCCTCCCTCTCTCTCTCTCTCTCTCTCTCTCTCTCTCTCTCTCTCTCTTACTCCTTTTTGCACTCTCATCTTCTACTGTTAGCGAGAACTGCCGTGAGGAACGCGCGACTCGAAATTCAGGAGACGCCGAATCGTCATCGTCGTCGTTAAGTTTTCTTTTCACAGTCTGTAAGCTAATAAATGAAAGTTAATTTTTTTACCACGCCTTGTACTTTATTTCGACCTCCTCGAGACTCGCCTGAGCAAGCCTGCCCGACGGTTAAAGCCGAAAACTTCGTCGCGAGAATTCGCCCCTCCTTCTCTCTCGGCTTATCCTTGACCACGATGAAGTTATCTTACTTATTTGAATATTTCTTTTAAGCTGTTGTAAAAACAACTTTTCATCTTGTTACTCGAATGGTATTGCTTCGAAAGGAGAAAAAGAAAACTAATCGCATAAAAATCGCCTTACGGATATCTCGCGCTTCAACGTGACAAGCATGACACGACGCGAAAGCGCGTCGTGTCATGTTTTCCTGAACGTGAGTATATAGTAGTTATTATTATCGCGTTGCGACAGCAAGGATAAGGACGCGCTCTCGAGATAAGATCAGGCGCGTCATTAAGTTCTCTCCGAGACACTTGCGCTCGCGTCGTCGCTCGCGAGCGATAAATATTTAAACTGTATGAAGAAGAAAAAAGGCGAGAGTCTCCGGGACGGGGGGAGGGCAGGGGGGAGGGAATACTCCACAGCAAGTTTGCGCGCGTGTGTTTTATTGAAACTCATTTATTATTCAATATCTCACGCGCCCGTCTTGGACGGACGCTTACATCACGGTCGTCGTCGATAATATCATCGAGTGTGGTACGAAATTTACAAAAACAGCCGACTTAACAAGTAGAGACGGGTGCGGGTGTGACAAGTTATTACATTTCGGCTCTCGGATCTCGGAACGTCGAATATTCGTGTGTGGTTGGCTAGGTAGCTAGGTAGACAGGTATGTACACGATTACATGGTCGGTCGACTCGAGAAATCCGTACAAGTTGGCCGTCAATACGCTGGACTGCTGAAGCGCTGATTTTCGCTGACCGCTTCGACGCTCAGCTCGAGTTTCAATTCACCGAAGACGTACTAAATAATCGCACATTTTCTCCTTCTGTCGGCTGCGTGTAATTTAATTTTTCCGTTATTCGCGCTTGCTCGCGTCTTACGTCTTGCATGTTCGATATGTAAATTAGCGACAGCGCCGATCGCGCCGTCGAGACGCCGTCGCACAGTGGGAACAAATAGAAATTTACTGTTCAAAAGTCGCTAGAGACCACAATTTTATAGCAATCGGGATGCGTTTTTTTTTTTTAATTAAACGTTGATCAATGTGGAAAAAAACTGTCGAGCCCGATTTTTGACAACATTCTCTTAAATTTTGCAGTATTAAAAAGAATTTGTAAGAAATTATCAATAATGTAAAAATGTAACAAAATTGCTTAAACAATGTATTTAAAAAATGATTTGAAAACCTGATGCTTGATGATTTGAAAACATCTAGATCAAAGCTACATATTTGGTTCTCGTGAGAACAACTCTGTTATAAAGAAATTATTTTGCAACTTTTTTCCGCTGAATTTGTTATCTTTATCATACTTCATGTCAGACTTCACATTTATATTGAACGGCTTTGCATATTCTATTGCAACGTATATACATATGTATGTACTGTGTTAAAACAATGATTTTGTTTATGTTGACAGGAGATTAGCAATTGTTAACTGTCAAATTCTGATTTTTATACCACATTCGTAATCCAGCGTTGCTGAGAACCTTAGTACACTGTACTGCGCAGCGAAAAGATGAAAAGTTTTTCCATTTGTAACAGAGGTTCGCAAAACTTGATAATTTCTTATAAATTCTTTTTAATACCGCAAAATTTAAAAGAATGTTTTCAAAAATCGGGTTCGACAGTTTTTTTTTACATTGATTAATGTTTAAAAAGAACGCATCCCGATTGTTATAAAATTGTGGTCTCCAGCGATTTTTGAACAGTAAATTTCTATTTGTTCCCACTGTGCGCCGTGGCAGTCCGCGTGTTAACGTGTCAACTCGTGTGAACAGTAGAACGAAGGAACGAGGTGTATCGTAATGTTTTCAGTGTTCAGTGAGATAGGGTGGGATGGGGGGGAGGACGCATTAGCGTAACGATAATTTCGCGCAGACGTAAAAGACGAACGTTTGACGGCTGTCCTACACTTCGGCTCTTCGTCAACTGCAAAGCCTGTGCTTGTAAACGCAAAGTTTGCGATTAACGTTACGCAAAGTACATCTTGGCTCTCTCATGGGTCCGTTAAACTATCTCGACTCGACGCTGGGAATCCGAAAGTCTTCCGATAATCATTGGAAATGCATACTTTTCGTTCCGTCTACGACGTCGACGGACTTGCCTGCCAAGTCAGGCGATACGAACGATACCCCGCTGCCATGTGCGATTAACCTAATTAAGAGGTACATTCTTGAAAAGGCGGTATCATCGTTGTCAGTCTCGGGCAAGTATATAGGTGATTCCCTGTTCGTCGCTTCGTAAGCTCGTCTTTACTTCGGCGCAAAATTACCCTCGCTGCGGCAACTTTCGCCCATTATTGCGTTATACATTTGCGACAAGGTGCACTACTTGGATGTGAAACTTGGTTCAGACGCAAGACAGCGGGATGCTCATCAAACTACCAAGATCAAGAGCTATTAGGTTGGTGCAGAAACAATCGCGGCTTTGATCATTTTAAGTTTGCCGCTGATTTTGCTAGTTACCTTCTAGTTATCTTCTTCAGAATTCTATCTTGTAGGAATAAATAAACTTGTTTCCCGTTGGGAGAAATGTGTGTAAGCCAACTCGAGCAAAAAATTGTTAAGATCATCATGAAGCATAAGACCCCAATAGGGCTAAAGATAGGATCCCCTCATTATTACTATATCAGGCCTCGAGAAGAACCTTTGAAGGATGTTTTAGATATATAAAATCAAGTTTTGTTATAGAAAATTAATAAGATCTGAAGCGTGTAATAAAATTGTCATAGTTTAGTATTGTTTTAATAGCCATACTCTGTCTGGTTTTTTAATTATACCGCAATTAAAAACAAATTTCATTAGTTTTATTAGTTGCCATATTTATTAGTCTCTTCCAAGGACTTTTCTAGTATTGTCTTCGTCTTGAAATGCAACAAACTTTAATAAAAACAGTGGCAGGGGTTTTACGTGTAAAACATGCTATATTTTACTATAAAATATGCTATATTTTTAAAATAAAAAATTCTCGTATACTAACAAAGTTATAAAGAAATAAAGAAATTACAGTCTAAATTTTCTGGAATGAAAAGAACGAATAATTTTATTCAAGCAATAATAAAAATATTTCTTTATAAGGCCCTATTAAACTATTGCTTTGTAAGGCCCTCATAATATTTCCTTATAAGGACCCGTTAAACCATTTGTTACACATCTTGTAAGGCCCTTGTCTTTCTATCCCTACAGGGCCCGATTAATGTTAGGGAAAAATAATCAGGCCCTTACTAGAGCCTTATTAATTTTTCTATTCAGGAATTTATTCTGATTAATAAATATAATTTTTAACTGATACATGCGTCTTTATACTCGGTACGTAAGAACCGCAATTATCTTTGCACCAACTTAGAAGCCGAAGTGACAGCGATGACGACACTTCCGACGTCACGACTGCAATGGAGGCTTCAGAAAAGGACACGAGTATTTTTATTGCGTACTTGTTTACCGGAGAAGAGAGTATAAGAAATATCAGAGAGAAAATAGCTGTAATAAGAACAACGAAGGACCAGCATTTACACCGCTCACTGCCATTTCGGCTGCTGTTAAAGGCTGCTGTTACCGCCGGAGCCTGTCAATAACGGCTCTCGATCGTGACAATTTGTTGCGCTCTCGGTTTCACTGCGTCTAAACCGTCTTACGACCAGATGTACAGACGGAAATAAATCATCGTGACGCTCACGCGGAGGCTCCTCAACAGAAGAGCTTATTGAACATTTTAACAATTAAGGAGTCGCGATTGCGATCTCACTGTGTTTGCCTTTGCCAAAACGCGAACTTCATAGACTTAATCCCTACGTTTGATTAATTCCGCGTCCGCGATTACCGCGTGTGGACAGTAATAACAATACGTTAAATTTCGAGAGTAAACTCCCTCCCTCCGGTGCGCGAACGTCGAGACGACGGTCGTCCAGGAAAAAGTAGCTCGATGTTGGACCCCGTCTCGAAATTTTGGATCGGGATTCGCGGCAAGAGAACGTTTCAACGAGGTTTCGGCTCGGAACAGCGTCAAAAATGTCCTTATGGGAATCGAGGAAACACGCGATACAGTGCCGCGGACACAACAATACATCACGACAGAAGAGAATCGTACAAGCGCTAAAATATAATACTATTTGGGGGTTGGGAGATGTGAGGATGGGGAGGGGGAGGAGCGCGTCGCGATCTGCTCGAGACAAGTCACGCGAGGGATAAACTTCCGGCTCGCGCGCTCAAGTAAACGTATATGCAGATTTATTTACATATATATATATATATGTAAATATATATGTATATATATATGCATATATATCTTTCTCTCTTTTGTCCATATATATATTATATTAAAACAACCACTATAAAATATAAATATATTTATATATTTATATTCGTACATATATATATATATATATCTCTCTCTTTTTTACTTTTTCGCCGTTTCACGGCTAGCTGCCTACGTAGGGCTGGACGGATGTGATGCAATAATGTGAGTTCACCTTCCTCTCCTTCTTTCGCGGCGGAGGAGTGGCGAGTGATTACTACCAAAGTTAATAACGTAAGGCGAGGAAACACGGAGAAAGAAGGGGAAAAGCGGGAAAGAAAAAACGTATCACGTATCCTGCGACTTTCACGGCAATCCGTTATGCCGAACGATAATAATCGACGATCGGTCTTCCTAGGGGGTTATTTATTCTACGTAATATATATATATATTTTTTTTGCATACACGCGTGTATATATATAAATCTCGACTTGCATTTTCGACAACTGTCAGCTTAGTCGATGCTCTCAAATTAAGTATTTAAATAACTCTCTGTCTATACATTAAAGCCAAATTCATAACGCGGTGCCACAATTGACTGTGGCTTAATTGATTGTGTGATTAGCGTTAACCAATATTCACATATCGGTGTAGCGATTTCTAACAGTCAATCGAAAATGAACGTTTCTTTGTAGAATCAAATTATATTATGCGACTCACTCTTCGATCGTGCAACTTTCAAAGGGCAATCATTCCTACGTATATCGTCGCCGTTGCCATTACGGTAAAAATGAGCGATAATATTAAACGTTAAGAAGTACTTGATCGCGGACGGAAAATTGTTGATAGTTCTAAACAACAACAACAGCAATAATAATAATAATTATAATAATAACGGTAATGGTAATAGTAAAAATAGTAATACTAATAATAATAATAATAATAATAGTAACAATAATAATAATAATAATGTGTCGTTACAACACCGATATTTACAGGATAGTCGGGTGAAGTCTTTTCGGTGACAATTATTAAATTCGGTAACGGTATATTGCCGTGTCTGCGTAAAAATCTATACATATTGCAGTGTCTCGCGCTCCCTCTCTCTCTCTCTCTCTCTCTCGCGCGATCAAGAAGTTCAAAATATCTCGTGGAATTATCGTTATTAAGAGCGGGACTTTTCGAGACTTAAGTGGACGATACCTAGCAACGGTGGGGAACGTATAACTGTAACAATCTCATATCGATTCTCCGCGTATAATATAACAAACGTAAAGATCGTGCTGCGAAATTTCCGGCTTGATTAAACTCCGACACTGCAGCGCGCGCGCTTAACTAAACGGCGATAGCACGGGTCATCTGTCTGTAAATCGAATACGGTTACGTAATCTCGTGATGCTTCTCCGATCGAGCGCGACTGAAACGATCATCGCACGGTATCGCACCGCAAGAGCGAGATTTCCGCGGAATTTCGTCCTCTTTTCGATATTTTTCACGCTTGCCGGACACGCTTGAAATTTGAGACTTCCGCTTGGAAATTCCCGGCACGTGTTTGAGAAATCCCCCGACAGAAGTAAGTGAGCAAAGGATGCCAAATAAAAGATCGAGATCGGATTCGTGATCGTACTTTAAATCGCGTGTGTGATGAATTTTTCAAATCGCTCGTACCTCTTTGCGCGGACTTACTTTCACGGAGAATGCACGAATTCTCGACGATCAACCGCAAGTCTATTTTTCGTCTTTATCGTCGTTATCAGTTCTTCTTTTTGCCGCTTCGCGACCGGCAAGACGGAAGAATAGAACGACGCGTGTGCTGTGCGAAATAACATTTGTTCTACAAAGTGCCTCGGCTGGATGCATAATAGGAGTCTCATATATTCACCTCTCCACTAAATCCTCGCTTGAAACTCTGTTCGTTCGGTTAAACGGAGTCGATCTTCGCTCAAAAAAATTCATCTTTCATTTTCGCTTCTAAAAACTTACGACACATCGGGACGAGACTTTTTGTCCGATGCTTTTTGTCCCTTGACATGCTTTCCGATTGCGACACTCGACCCCTTTCGTTTCTTCCAGTGGCTCGCGATTTCCACTCGCTGCCGCCATCTCATTCTTCCGCCTTTGTAGTCCACCGGCCGTCTCCTGCTGATGCTCTCACGTCGTGTAAAGGTATCGTAGAAAAGTCGAAGGGAAAAAGTGACCTAATACTTAACACAGTCGTCCTGATCGATCGCGCGTCTCACGTAAATTCGTTTGATACTTACACTCAGGTAGTTCCCAAGGACGATGGGCGATTAAGCCGAACCCGCCGCGGCGGGGATCGACGTTATTTACACGCTCTCTCAATTAATGACATTTCAAATGTCGCGGGCGACTTGGCGACCCTCGGGACTCATTAGCGGTCCCATCGCCGGAATCACAAGCAACGTCCAAGTGTTCCGGGGAGTCGTCGGGAGCGCGATGGCCTCGGATCGCCCTCGATGAGGAGCTTCCGTCAAAATAACGACTACGGTATCGAAGACCACCTACCATTGATGAAACGTGCCACGTGGAACGAATTCGGAACTTTATCTCGTCATCGTGGTCGTCGTCGTCGTCGTCGTCATTGCCGATCTTTCTCAAACGGTCGCCGACGAGATCATCGACGACGCCGCCGTCGTCGTGCGCACACTTGGCCACGGTCGCTCAGCCGAGAAGCCGAGGAGCGTCGCTAAACCTCCGTCGAGTGCGTTTGTATACGAACTTTCTTCTGGGAGCCGTTCCTGGACAGGGTCGGACTGTGGGCCGAGAAGCCGGGATTGTGAATCCCGAGGGTCTTCGGCTTCTTCAGGGAACTCCTGAGGGGCGAGGCCGTGCTGGCCACGCTGCCGGAAGTCGCCACCGACGCCATCGATCCGTTCCCGGCTCCGCCGACGTAGGGCTTGCCGCTGGCGTCCGTCATCGAGATCGTACCACCTGCGAACGAAGATGAGATTAACGCGATTAACGTACCCGTCGTTCACACGAGAGGATAGCTTTCCGCCATTTAACCCTTTGAGGCACGTATTTTTCAGAGAATCCGAATCACATGAAACTTTATATACGGGGGTTTCTGGGGTCGCTGATGACGAATCCGTTATCAGATTTTCGAAATTCAAGATGGCGGATCCAAGATGGCGAACGCAAAAATGGAAAATCACGATAATTTCGGTGACAATGGGCATTGTGGGGTTTTTGGAGTCGCTGATTACGAATCCGTTATCAGATTTCCAAAATTCAAGATAGCGGATTCAAGATGGCGGCCACAAATATGAAAGATCGAGATAATTTCGGTGACATCGGTGATTCGTAATCGATCTTGAAAGCTAACCAAAGTACAATTTCAGCTAATCATATAAAAATTTTATGATCAGCCGTCTTGGAAAAGGAATTTTGGAATTTGGACCTCAGATTCGTAATCAACGACCCAAAAAACCCCCAAATCTTGATTTTGAGCAAAAAATTCACTCATAGTTCGTGGAAAATGATTTTTTTCTATAAAAATTTATATTTTTCACACTTTGTTTATTTATAATAAATAAAATTAAAAAATATTTCAACCTTTCATGTATATTTCCCATATCATATAAGAAGCTAAAAACTGCGAAAAACCCAAGAAGAATCCCTCAAATATGAAATATTTCATAAAAATATGAGAATAAACAGGTGGTAAGTATACTTACCACTATGCCTCAAAGGGTTATGGGAGAATTTAACCAAAGAAAAAATCGTAAAGAAGAGATCCTTCTTCTCTATCTCGCCAAAAGAAACTCGAAAAGGAGGATTTGATTGAGAAAAGATCGTCGAAAATGGCGCTCACACAGGATATTGGGGAAATGCTATCACCGAGTCATAATCGCGTCACAACATGGCGTCTGACGCATGTCTAACCGTTGAACTTTATAAAACAAGATTTATACAATGCGCATGCAAAAAAGGAAGGCCGATAATCATGCCGATGACGAAGAGAAATGTCTTGGCTAAAAGCAAATCGTACAGGCTGCCGGATATCCTTTTGCGTACACGTCCCATGCAAGGCTACCGGACGTCCTCTCGAAGTGATCAGTTGATCACATTTGGACGTCACTATTTCTATTTACGAACTTGATAATTAGGCAGCTGATGAGTTGTGGAATATAAATTAGTTCAAGGCCTACCAATCTTGTAACTAAAATCAAAGTTTCCAAAACCAAAAGCAAAAGTATGCCAAAATTTTAGTCTTCTTTTCAGCCTTCTAATATAATTATTTTAAATTGAAATATTTTTCCGTCGCTTTGCATATTTGTAAAATTGGTATTAAATTTTCTAAAGCGCTATTCAGTATGATTCGTTGGTGCACATAACCTTAAAAATAACAGTCGATACAACGAGCGACGAAAAACTTTATATTCGACACTGCGTTCGATATGAATTCCAGCGAGAAGAAAATGCTGCTGAAACATGCGAATCTATTCGCTCTGTTCCTGGGGAAAATATTGTGTCTCACAATACGTGCAAATATTGATTTCGTCGCTTTAAGGACGGTGATTTTGACCTTTGACGAGTGACCGTCCACGCTTTGAAACGCCACGAAAGCTGGAGACCGACAATTTAGAAGCGTTGTTGAGTGAAAATCCGCAAATCCCAAACGCAAGTAGAACTTGCAGAATAGCTCAGAACTGACTAAGCAACAGTTTCAAGGCGATTATATGAAATGGGAAAAATTCAAAAGCTCGGAAAATGGCTGCCGCATGACAACATCCGCCGCTTGAGTGCGTGCGTTTCATTGCTTTTCGGACAGAGCGAAAAAGACTTTTTGTCGAAAATTGTTACTGGCGATGAGAAGTGAATTATGTATGACGATTCTAAACGCAGATACTCGTGGGTGGATCCCGAAGAGCTTTCCACATCAGTGGCAAAACCAAATATTCAAACGTGATCTTTTTGTGTGTCCGGTGGGATGCGAAAAAACGGCAAAACGGGCAAAACGAGAATATTTCAATTTAAAGTAATCATATTAGAAGGTCGAAGAAAAAGACTTTGAGCACACCTAAGAGCATGCAGCGGAAGACGCTGCAAGAACGCAGGCCGCGCAGTCGGCTGGCAGGAGAGGGAGAAATCACTCAACTTTACGGTCGGCCATAAAGTGAAGCTAAATCGGCGAGTTACGTTGAGTGGACTCGATGCGTCCTCGGGAAAGCCCTCTTTCGCGCGGCGAAAATGCGCATGGATGAAGAACACGTCGCGGCCGCGCGAGCATCGCCGTCGGCTGCGGTGCAGCGTGTCGTTACGGAACACCGGGCAAATTCTCCGAGACACCGCAATTTGCCGCGGCCCCGCGTGTGTCTCCATAAGATCCCCGATAAACGTAAGAGAGCACAATGGCCGCTGCCTCGCCTCCCTCGTCATTCTCTCGTCGTATCCACTTACTACGCGCGCCGAGCGTTCCTCAAGGTCTCCCCATCGTCTTCTCGCCTCCGGAGATATTTCTCATGTATATTGGATCGGCGAACGAAATTTTGCCGAGGGAAAGCCGACTTGGCGTAACTTCGCGGCGAATGCGCGTACGTGAACGCCGGCCGAGGTGAGTCCGAGTTTTCCAAGGCCGTGTTAATAGTCGTTACTTGGAACTCGTCCCATGTGAGAGACGCTTCGCTGTGCACTTGGACGCGAGTTTTCCAGTCTCGTCGATTTTTCTGTCTCAAGCAGAGACAGTTTCAGGTATCGATTATTCGTGTGGGTTCTTAGTTGTTCTCTTTTCTTTTTCTGTACGGATTTTTGTATCGGCGTGACTTCCGCGGTGAATGCCAGGTTAATGTTAGTGGGTCTACGTCCGCCTGCTTCAAGCCAGGCGATTAATATTGCAAAGAGAGTTGCTATGGTCCCGAACCTCGCGGGAAATCATCGCCGGTGACGTCTCTTGCTAAAAAAGCGTTTAGCGGGAAGCCAATGTGGTGGCGGAAAGGTTAAAGCATCGGCGAGTGCGACCCACGCGACACAAATCGCTCTAATTTTAGGCGAGCGAAACGGGGCCGCGTATTTCGGTGTGATCCTTAATTAAGGAAACCGCCGGCGTTCACGGCATGCACAGCGAGCGATGCATTATAAACGCAGATTTAATCCGGCAGCCTGTTTTAATCGCCTCGTTTCATCGCTTCGTTTCATGGTCTCTCGAGTCTTGAACACGCGCGCGTTAAGCGTTCGAATAAAACAAACGTTCCAAATTAAAAGCCTATCAATGCAAGCCGTTTTCTCCGCGGATCTCTCATAGCGCTTATTTCACGTTCGCGGCGGAACACATCGGATCATATCTCGGTTAGCCTCGTTGCGTTTAACGCGGAACACGAGGCGCCAACGCAATGGAGACGCAATTCGGGCTCAAACGAGCGCTGCGTATTGCAATCACGTCAGCATCGGAATTACCAAAACGATTCAAATAGCCGGTCTGTAATTTCAGACGAGAAATTGCTCGAATTTCTGTAACGAGCATTTTGCATCTTTAACGAACGAGGGAACGGATAAATATTTTTGTCGCTGCGTAAAATGTAATTCTTTAAAAAAAAAAAACCCGTCATTTTTTTCGGCCGCTCCGCTGGAAATTGGTCGCGGCGATTAATCGTCGACGATTAAAAGGCTCGTGATTAGTCGGCGCGCGTGTCCGCCGTGATCGCAAGGTGCTCGAGCGGGATGTGAATAGGGTTGTCAGATGGCCGGGATTTCCGGGATTATCCTGGAAAATTTGTAAGTTTGTTCCGTGTCCCGGAAAATAAGTCTGTTATCCCGGAAAATCAGAATCTCAAGAAAATTATAATCACAATATTTATGTATTTAACTGGTATTAGAGAGAGAGAGAGAGAAAAATGTGAGAGCAATCATCGGGACTTATGAGGTCAAAGAATTTGACGTGCCACGTGAGAAAATTGATGTTAAGTAAACCATTTGGGCAATGAAAAAAAAAAAAAAAAGAAGTTCGTACGGTTTATATCTAAACTTCTTTCTGGTACCTGATTCACATATTTATTTATACGCAACGACATCTCCTAACCGTATTACCCCTCTATCTCTCAAATGTAATTAAAATTCTCTAACAACCTATTTTTCAACCGTCGCCTGACGAATGTCCCGGAAATAGTCATTTTGCATCTGACCTAGCCTAGGTGTGAACGAAGCGGAGAGTGTAACGGACTCGCGGCAGTCACACACCGCGAGGAAATTCGATCGGCTCGTAAACGGGAGCTCCGGAGAAATTCAACGACTGTATTCCGTCGCGGTCTTACCGTTCGTGGGTTGGTGATGCTCCCGATATCCTGGATTATTTATAGTAGCTGCACGGGGATCCGTAACGACCCTAATCTTGGTCGGGTCGCCGCCTCTTCGGGCATAAATGCCCTCGTAAATGGAGGACACCAGCACGCCGAAGTTCAGGACAATGGCAGCCAACTGCAACGACAAATAAGAACGTTCGATTTACGGTAATGCGCGTGACAGACAAAAATTCGGTCGCCCGATATCGGGACGGGATTGGCGCGAGAGTGCGGTTCCCTCTCTCCCTCTCTCTCTCTCTCTCTCTTTCTTTTTCTCCCTCGCCTCGTGCAAATTTATCCGCTGCCAAATCTGTACTCGACAGCCGAAAGGATCGATCACTACGGAACCATCACTCTCGCGCAGACCTCAGTTATTCCTACGGGCGGGGATCTTACTTCGGAATTACATCAATTAATAGTGGAAAATGCGGCAGTTCATTAATAAATTGATTAATCGGCAAAGTCGGGACTCAGAGTCGGCTCGACGTGAAGACTCGGCTGCTGGCCTCCAGAGGGGTTGAAACTGGATTCTCATTACTTGTCGAAACGGCGACAGCCAGAACGTTCGTCAATCCTCCGCAATTTCTTTCTTTTTTCAATAAGAGTGATTGACGCGTGAGGGTGGCGGATGCCGCGAACATTCTAACGCGGAGGCGCTGAGGAATGCTTCGACGGATGATGAAATGAGAATCCGGCCCAACAAAACGTAATTATTTGCGTCGGAGAAATCGGCCGTGCAGAGCCCACGGATGCAAATCGTCGGAGCGAGATAAGCAACAAACATGTCTCACAGATTGCACTGAATACAACGCCGCGTCACTGCCAACCGAGATCGCCGCGAATGATCCAACGGGATAACGTCTGATCCTATTGGTCCTGTTTACTGTCACTCGCGGGAAGAATCGCACTCGCGTTTACAAATGAGAAGCAAATAGCGCGACGCTTCGTGGGTCGCGCGGACGCAAACAAAGCCGTCGACGTGCTCGGGGTGCGAACTCGACGTGTACGCGCGAAACGCAACGAGCCGATCGCTTGTTTCCCCGCGATGCTCTCATTTATTTCCCTTCTCGCTAATTGGCAGGCGGGCGCAGCTCGGACAACGGCGCTGCTCTAATTCACCCGGCGAAGTCGCGCTTCCGTGTCGTTCCCATCGGAACACAGCGAGATCGGAACACATCGTCATTTTACACGCTCACGCCTTGCTCTCTCTCTCTCTCTCTCTCTCTCTCTCTCTCTCTCTCTCTCTCTCTCTCTCTCTCTCGCACACACACACGCACGAGATGACTTTTACCACCTCCCGGGGAGGAAATCGCACGCCACGCGACGGTACGCACCTGTCGACGTCGCGTCGTCGTCGTCGCCGAGAGACACACACGCACGCACAATCTTTCTCTCTCTTTCTCTGTCTCTCTCTCTCTCTCTCTCTTTCTCTCTCTTTATCTCTCTCTCTCTCTCTCTCTCTCTCTCTCTCTCTCTCTCTCTCTCTCGTGGACGAGTCGTCCTTTCTTACACGGCGTACGAGTAACTACGAGGAGGAGATCGTCGTAGTATCGACGACGACGACGACGGCGGCGGCGGCGGCAGCTGCGGCGGCGACGAGAGTAGCAGGCCATAGGTGGTGAGCGATCGGTGGTGGACAGACAGGGTGGCGTCATCAGAAGCGAGGAAAGGGGTGGGCATTTAATTAGGGCCAACAAAGAAGCGGTGCGCGCGCGCCCGCGTCATTGTTGTTGCGTCGCTATAATTAATCCGGCCGGCCGGCCGGCCGGTGTTTGCCGTTCTTTTTGTCCGATGTCGACGTCGTCACGGCGCTTTTCTCTCCCCTACAAGGGACTTGATAAAAGAGACCGAAGCGTTGCTGCAGCCGTTTATTTTTTCTCTCGCGTTGGACGCGGCCTTTTTCACGGGATTAGACCTGGACCGACGCGGCGGCGTGCCGCGGAAAAACGACGGAAATGTTTCAGCCGGACAGACAGAGAGGGATAGAGAGCAAGCGAGAGAGAGAGAGAGAGAGAGAGAGAAAGGGGGAAGGGGAAAAAGAGAGTGACCATTCGAACGGCGGAGGGCATTTCGCGCGGAGTTTATCGCGTCCATCGCGGTTCCGCAACGAGCGCGCGGCCGTCTTCCTTACGGCTTTTCATTTTACGCGTTATTTAACAGCGACGTTTTTTTCGCACGGCGGACTGCATGCGGGCGGTGCGCGATTTCATTGTTCGCCGCCGATAAAAAGCTCCGCCGCGCCGCGGAAATACCGGCGGCCGTTACATAACAGCGCGGAGCGCCAGCCGCCCCCGCCTCTGCGCCGCGCCGTGGCGGTTCTTCTTTGTCCTCTCGCGCTTTTTTTTCTCTCCTTTTATCGGCTCGCTTCTCGACTCCCGCTCTTGTTCTCTCGTTCTCCGCGAGAAAGAAAGATCGGGCGCGCACGTGGCTGGAATTCGCGCGCGCTCGTGCCTCGCGCAATTATATTTCTCACCCCCCCCCCCATCCACCCCTCTCGCCGCCGTGAATTCCGTCGATCTTATCGACGCGGTGTCTCCGCTGTGGTGAAATTTTCCACTCGAAGCCGAACCGACGGCGACGCGTAAACACGTGGCAAGGACGTGCCTTCACGTCACTGAGTACGTAATTTGCCTCCTTCAGCAGCGCCTGCTCCCACGAGCGAGAGGGCGAGAGAGAAAGAGAGAGAGAGAGAGAGAGAGAGAGAGAGAAGCCACATCGCCCTTCGTCGCATGATGCCTATCGTCCTACCGCGACGCGCATAACGCAATATCGCCGAGCAAAGGCGAGGACATTAACTCGATTCTCCGTCGAGAGGTGCATTACCTTGCCTTGTTTCTGCTTATTTATTCTGTCCAATTCGATCTCGTCCTTGGCGCCTCTCAGGAGACTACGTTGCCTCCTGCCCATCATGCTGAATTGTTGATGGTAACACCGCACAGCGCGTAACGTCGACGAAGCGAATCTCGCGCGCGGCCGCCGGCTTATCGTCGCGCCAGCCGGAGCTTACGCGGCGCGATCGATGATCCGCCACGATGCTACATCTGCTTTAGTTTCTCTTCTCGGTTTATAGATAGGAGGAAGCTATAGGGAGGGAGGGGGAGAACTAAGAAAAGCTACGATCAGTAGCTTCGTATTACGAGAGAGGGAGAGAGAGAGAGAGAGAGAGAGAGAGGGGGACAGAGAGGGAGCGAGCTCTCGAACTTGCGCACCGCGACAAAAGATTCAGAACGGCGGACAAAAGGATATTCACTCGTCACGTCGGTGCCGAGAAGGAGGACATAGAGAGTTCATTAACGATCGGCACCGAAACACTCACTGCGGGCCCGCCGATGTCGCCTCATTGTTTTAAAAGTATCTGCGAGTCGTAGGTGCCCCGACACACATACTAAGTGAGTCGCGATCGGTGGGGCGGCTTAAGAGGACACCTGAGCACGACTTGGCGATCAGGTGGTCTCTGAGCGTTTAATTCCCCGCGTTCGGATACTCCTTGTGCAACTCGTCGGCAATCCGCCGGCACGCGAACGAGAGTCTACGGACGGAATTGAGTCGTTCAGAGTGCTGCTCTTCTCGTTATCGTTTCGCCTCCTTAGTTAATTTTTGGGACGAGATCCGTGAGAGAGAGAGAGAGAGAGAGAGAGACGCCGAAAGAGCAGGTACGAAATTGGTCTGCCTCTGCCTCGGTGTTCTCAAAGAGTATCATGTGGAAGAAATGAGACGAGAATTCTCCACATAACCGTCTCCATGACAAAAAAGAGACTATCGTTTCGTAATTTATTAAATATAAGAACGAACATCCAAAAAAAAGTATTCTATTTGTAAAGTGAATTTTCCCATAGTTCTAAGCGAAGCCTTTTACAGAAAAAGGATTCCTCTTTCGATCAAGCGATTAAACGATAAAGTAAACGATTTCGATAAAGTAAACCATTCATTTGAAATTTATTTAAATATTATTTTAACTATTTCTTTATTTAGTCGCAAGAATATATTGTTACAATAGCGCCCTGACCTTTGTTAATTTACTGACTTTTGGAAATTTCAAAATCATCAAATTAAAAATCAGTTTAGAGCATTATTGTAACAATATATTCTTGAGACTAAATAAAGCAAGAAAGACTAGTACCACTTTTTCTTCCGACAAATAGTTAGTGAGATATCGTAAGTTTAATATTGAAAAAGTTATCAAGTTCTCTTCAAATATCTCAAGAAATATTAGGCAAATAAAAAAATGTTTTAGACAAAAGTTGTTCAAATTAATTGGTAGAAAAAAACAATGTAATAAAAAATAGGGATTCCCATTTTAAAAACGCAAGGTGATTTTCAAATGATCTTCAAGGTCGAGGTCAAATTTGAGGTCACAAAAAAACGGAACTTTATGAACCCTAAACTACCCTAAAACTTTGTGAACCCTAAAACTTTTGTTCGGGTAATTTTTCCCTATAATGCATAGATTCTGAGATGGGAGGGGGGTCCGTTACTTTTGGAAAATTTGGTATATTACTTTTCGCTATATATTATAATAATTTTTCAAATTAACTAATATAACCAGTAAGAATAAAGTACAGTAAGAATAAATGATAATCCTCTTGAAAAAAGATTAAATAATCTGTGCATAAAAGGAAATTTATATTAAAGTTATATGATTTGCATTATACGACATATATAATCCCTCTAACTTTAAGAATAATGTGTTTATATTTTCCTCTTAATCTTAAAGGGATCCCCTTGATGTTATATATAAGAATAAAATCCTCTAAAATTTAGATGATTCCGCTTGTTCTGAAATTATTTTTTTTTTTGGATGAAACAATTACAATAATGAAACAGAAATGGGTGGCATGAGAACCAAATATGAATAATAATTAAATAGATACGTGAATTTTATAATTTTTATAAATTCAGTACAGCATGATTTTACTTCCATATGATAATTTTAGCTTTTCACGTTATAATTTTACGTAGACGGCTCGCAGGGAGGCCTGCTTAAAAGTCTCGAATTATTTCTCACTCACGCGAGCTCTCTCTCTCTCCAACGCGACGTTCGATATCGATAAATCGTGATTCCGAATCCGCCCGGGCTCAAAGTCCGCCCTAAACCTTTGCACTCGCGATTTCGCCCGCGGAATTATCGCGGAACAGCGACACTCGGCCGTATTTCCTTCCGCGGCGCAGCCCGGCGATCTTACTGCGTCGATTGTAACAACCGTCGCGCGACTGCTTCATTCGCATCGGTGGAAACCCGAGGCCGCGGTCTTTGCGATAAGAAGAAACTCTCAAGGTGCGTGTCGACGATGTTATCGTTTCATAAAACGTCACGTTCTTTCATATGCAGCCGTGCGGTCGCCGCAGCCGGCGTGCGCGTCATGCAGATCAATATCCAATCTCAGTTACTGGTTCGTTCCTCCGGACGACGGACGACGGACAAATGCGAACAATGCTTCGCGCAATTCTCTTCATCAGCTCGCCCATCTCCGCGAAATTATTTCGTAATCGCGGCTAAAGCGAGCTAAAGCGAGCTTTACCGGCAAACGCCTTTCGTCAACCGATCCTCTCGACTCATCTCCCGCGACATTTCTCAGCCCGTAGGGTCTCAATTATTATGGGCGATATTTAGCGACAATTAGCGGCCCATTCGTCCGTGTGCAACACTGCGTCACCTTGACACAATTTCCCGCTCGTCCAAGGGAAGACTGAACGCCTTCGTCTCGCGGCGACGTCGTAATAATCTTATCTGCCGTAGTTCCGCTTCTTCGCTCCGAGCGACTCCCGCGAGTCGTTTAGCCGAAGCGTTTTTCTTCAGCGCACGCACCATCAACGAGGTACCATCTGCTCGCTGAAGTCTGAGAGGCGGGTCTTATCTTCGTTCAGAAGCGCGACACACCTGCCCCCGCGCGCGTTCGCGCGATGGCGGGTCGCCTCGTCAGGAAATTGACACATAAATCATTCTCGTCAGCTGTGTCGGGCGAGCGACAGGTCCTCGTACGGAGCTGACCGACCGTACACAGGATGTCGCAGAAATGGCGCGCTTCCTATCGCCTGCGAGTCCTCCGGTGAATCCAAGACCCGTCGCTGTTGCTGGACGGTCGCCGAGCCGTGTCAGATACGAGCGACGCTTTCATAGATTTGTACCTTCGCGATTTTACGAGTCGGTCGGTCGCAAATATTTCAAAATGTCGCCGCCGCCGACCGTGGTACGTCAGCGAAAATTAAACAAAAGCGAGTGGCCGAGCGGCAGCGTGGAAAGCGAATTTTCGAGCGAAGGAGGACACTCGCGTGCGTGTTTAGTTTCGAAGTAAATCTCACACGCGCCGTGGTTTCGTCCGTAGGACGAGCAGAAATTCCGTGTCGTCGAAGCGGAACGCGTTCGCTCCGTTCATTGTCACGTTCATTAGCAATTGTAACCATCGCAGTTTCGCACAATGAGACGCATCGGTCGCGTCAATGTATCGTCATAAGCGTAAACGTAGCGCTCGCAAAACGAGACCTTACGCTTCCGCGCGCAACAGGTTTCGAAAACCGGCGATCACCTTAACCGTGCGATGCGCTTTAACGGTGCGCCGAGTGGAAGGAATTGGAGATGCGAAGGCGAGAATGCGAGCCTATCGAAAGTCGTCTGTTAACGGCATCGCGTTAACGACGAGAAGTCAATTAGGACGACGCTCGTTACGGCGACGTTAGCAGATGCGAGTTGCGCGCCGAAACTTTCAAAGACCGCCACATTCAAAAAAAAATATTTTATTTGTAAAGTGTTCTATTTGTCTATTTGTCTATTTGTAAAGTATTCTATTTGTAAAGTGATTTTTCCTATAGTTTCATATTCTAAGCGAAGCCTATTAGAGGAAAAGAAGGATTCCTCTTTTGATAAAACGATTAAAGCAAACCACTCATCTAAAATTTATTAGATATTATTCTTAGATATTATTATTAGATATTATAAAATTTATTAGATATTAACCGTTTTTCTCTTATTTCAAGAGGATTTCCTCTTACATCAATTAATTTTCCTCTTATACGAAGAGAAATATGTCGATTTAAATGCCGGCTTCTTTTGTTCAGTCATGCTCTACCAGACATAAGCGAAAAAATAATCATATGCTTATGGGTCAGAATATTTGGAACGCTTTTTAAAAAAAGGTATGTGTGTAACATATTTTTGTATTGCTGTAACATATAACGAAGATAATTTACTCATATCTAGTCAAGTACAGTTTATAATCTATTGCAAGAAGTTGAATAGTATATTCTTTCTTTTAACTATGCTTCATACAATCGGTTATGACGAACATCTTTGTAGCTATGAAGTCCATAACGAAACTGATTGAAAATTTATGTCATGATGATGTCATTTCATTCGTGACTACATATTGTAGAACTGGAGCCAAAAGTACATCTATATATATATTATTTTTCGCTGTACATTATAATCATTTTTTCAAATTAACTAGTACAACAACCAGTAGGAATAAAATACAGTAAGAATGAATGATAATCCTCTTAAAAAAAAATTAAATAATCTGTGTATAAGAGGAAATTTATATTAAAATCAATAAGATTTGCATTATACATGTAACATATAATCCCTCTAACTTTAAGAACAACGTGTTTATAATATTTTCCTCTTAATCTTAGAGGAATCCCCTTGAGGCCATATTTAAGAATAAAATCCTGCAGAATTTAAATGATCCCGCTTGTTCTGAAATTACTTTTTTTTTTTGAGTGCACGTCCTGTCCGTTCTGTCGAATAAAAAACGCAAAGTTGCAACGTCGCGAAAACGTTTCTGTGAGACGCTAATGCGACAGAAAAAAGTTCATTCTCTCGGTTGAGAAACGGAGCGTCCCTTCAAAGAGAATATTTCTCCTGCAGAATATGTTTCTGCTCATTTTTTATTCAGCGTTACGGGCCATGAAAGGTCACTGGATCTCGTATCAACATTTTTCTTCGACGTCCCCCACGGCTCCAGCGATATTAAAACAGATGTGAAAAATCATATTTTCGTTGAAGGGCTGCGCTCTTTCGTCCCTGAAACCGATCTCCCTCAGTCGGGACGGAGAACTCGCAGTTGCCGAACTTTCCTCGCGCGAATCTCTCTGTGTGTGCGCGCGCGATCAACCGGTAAACTAGAGAGAAGTGAGCAATATAAATTCCGTCGAGTCATCGTGTATTTTACCTGCATATAAAAAGCCTCTCCTCTCGTGACGACGTAGCTGTTGGCTCGGTCATCCGTTTGCAGAGCGAAGAGGCTCTCCGCCACGATTGACAACGCCGCTGTAAAAGAAAAGCATCGAACGGCTTATAACTTTCCAATTCTACATCTCGCTCAGCAACAGAAACTTCGCGTCGCGACAAACCTCGTAATTGAATTAAAATATCAATTTTACTCGCGGGACATCGCGCGCGTCTGACAGAATCATAGAGACCGCTTGGACGTATTCGGCTCTGCAGCAAATTGCCGTTCCGTGAGATCAGCAATATCGCAATTTAATTAACTAGCCGAGCGTCGGTTGCCCAGCGCGCAGATACGCGCTCAGCGTTTCGTTAATTTACCCGCGGAGTCATTAACGCGGCGGAAGAGAGACCGGGCACGGTACACTTACGCCATTAGAATATATCGCTTTACCGTAACGTAATCCGCCGCGGATATTCGATGCCTCGCGTAAAGGTAAGTAGGCCAGTAAGTTGACGAGAGAGGCGGGAGAAGGGAGAATGAAGGAGGAGGGAGTAGGAGAGGGAGGATAGCGGCAGTAATTCTACCGTGTCGGTGGTATTGCGAAACTGTACGACACGCAGCGATCAGCAGAGCTTCCCGCATCGCAACGTGATTCGGACGATTCGTGCCTTCGTGTGTCAAGGCCTCGACTCACGGTGACTCCATCCGTTGCGTAATGACGGGAGGGAGGGGGGAGGGACGCGCGCGCGAAGGTAATCCCGCGGGATGAGCGGCTGGTCTCAATGATGATTGCAACGCGAATAATAAGGACAAGCATTTGGCAACGGAGAGAGGAAGCAGCGGAGAGTAGTACGGACTTGCAATCTGTCTGATTGCCCTCCCTTGAAGGCTGCCATGAGCGAAATTTCACCTTGTGCGAATTTTGATCTTGTTGAAAAACGTAATCACCCTGACGATACCAATTTTGTTCACGCTATCAGTAGTGACGACAAATTAATTCTTGCTTATATTTTGCTACAAACAATAATCAGGAAGAATTAGCTTAGGATGACGTTTGATGGTGGCCCTTAAGAGATAAGAGCATGCCTGGCATAACTCGAAAACAATTTATTGCGACGACTTGGAAACAATGCTACTTGATTAGAGCTGTGATGCTTTATTATCGATAATCTGTCCAGTCGCTTGCGTCATTGATAATTGCGTGACATTTTTTAATTTTATGTTTTTTTTATTTTATTTTATTATATCATACTCTTGAGGCAAAGATCTCTGAAATCGATCGAATTTGTCGAACTAACTTCTCGATTTTCTGAATCCCTTTCACAAAGCTTAAGCTTCATCAATGCCTGAATGTTTATTGCGTGACATCTTTTTACTAATTTTATAGTTTTCTATTTTATTCTATTTTATTTTATTTTATTTATTTTATTTCATTATATCGTATTCCTGAGGCAAAATCCTCTGAAATTGATCGAATTTGTTGAACTAACTTCTCGACTTTCTGAATTTGCCTTCCATGAAGCTTAAACTTCATCAATGCCCGAACGCTTCGATGGAATTTACATCCGGTATCTGTGACGGCCAGTCTAGTATGTCAACGTCATTCTCCCGTTTCCATGCGGTAGAGAAACGATCCCGACACTTCGGGTTCATTGTCTTCTTATAGTAGCCATTTTTCATTTTCTCTTTTTTTTGGACTACTTTTGGGCAAACAGTAATAAAATGCTCTCGTAAATTTTGACCATTTTGGCAGCACTCAAATTGTCTGCGAAGATACGCAAAGTATGATTTCCAAATTCTTGCTTTAAACAGCAGCTTCAAACGTGCTGCTTCGACGTTTATCTCCTCCAAGTGACACTTCATCCATTTATTTACCTTTATATACTTGAGACCTTTTCATATACGAGGATAGTCCCAGAAGTACCTGATCTGACGTATAGATAGCGGTTGTTGTTTGAAAAGAATGACTATGGTAGAAAGTACCAACCTTATAAAGCTTAAGATTGAAATTTGACGACGCTACGTTGTTTAGTATTTGTTTGGCAGCCATCAATAGTGAACGTTCTCAGTGAATTTGTAAACATGAAAAAAATTGGCCATCGTTATGTGATACAATACTTCCATCTGAAAGGCCTCAGTTCAACCAATATGAAAGCGGAGCTAGATTCTACTCTGGGGGAGTCTGCTCCTTCGTTTACAACAGTAAAATATTGAGTGGCAGAGTTTAAACGAGGTCGTACGAGCTGCCAAGACGAACGAACATCGCAGTGATCAAATGAGGTGACCACGTCAGAAATGGTGAAGAATATCCACCAAATGGTATTGGATGACCGTCGACTGAAAGTGCGCGAGTTAGTAAACATGGTAGGCATTTCAAAAAGTGCTGTACATTGCATATTGACTGAAAATTTGGACATGAGAAAGCTGGGTGCCGCGATTGGAACAAAAACAGCGTGAGGATGTTTCAATCGAGTGTTTGACGAAGTTTCGCAGCAATAAAACCGATTCATAACCATAGATGAAACATGAGTCCATCACTTCACACCTGAGACGAAGGAACAGTCAAAACAACGGACCAAGCTGGCTTGACGGCTATTTTGAGGAGCTCGACGATTCCCACTATAAACAGGGTATCGAAGCTATTGAACTGCGCTGGGAAAAGTGTATTGAGCTAAAAGGAGACTATGTAAAGAAATAAAGATATTTTTTCCCAAATTTTTTGTGTTTTCTTTGTTAGGTCAAGTACTTCTGAATACTTTGTCAAGTACTTTGTTAGGTCAAGACTAACCTCGTATATTTAGCAGCCTCTTGGCGTGACATTTTCCAGTCGAATCTCGAATGTACACAGAGCAACGCGACTTTAAATCGCGATGCGTATGCGATACTCACGGCGAAATACGTCTTTTTGCCGTGAAAGTCAAACGACAACCAAAGCTTTCTCTACAAAGCATCTTGGAAGAAAAGTCCCTCTACCAGTTCCTGTTGGAATTTCCCGTTTCCATGTAAAAGTCTCGCCCAACACGCTCTTATCAAACAGACTCTTTGTATGCTGAATTAATTTACCTGAGACCTTATTAAATTTTTGTGTAATTAAAAAGCTTGTGGCATATTGTAAACGTAAGGAACCGAAAAACAAATTTTATAACAAGTTAATGATTAAACTTTAAGATATTATTTATAAGTACCGACAAGAATGTGAGGCAAGACGCAAAGAAATGTTCAAAAACAATTAAAAGAAAATATGAGCGTTTACACAGAGCGGTACTTTTAAGTACCGTCAAAATATGAAAAGAATAAAATAACGATACGCGATAACGGTTAGAGAAGAGAAATGCTGTACACTCCGCATATGTGAAACCGTGTTATAATTACATCGTAATTTATTTTATCAGGAAAAGAAAAAGGGAAAGGGAGTAACGCGTTGAATCGTCGCAGTCGCGAGTGTCGCGGACGTCCGGAAGTTCCTCTCTCGTAAGTTTCCGATCTCGATGCGATCTTGCACATAAGCTCTCCCCGTATCCCGCTGTTATTGCAAAACACTTATTGTTCCGTCACGAGTAACAAGTTACCTCATCTCAGCTTAATCCCCCCCTTCCTCATGCAATGGAAATGCATACTCACTCGACAACGTTGCCAGGGCGACTTTGCCTATTACGGCGGTGCTGTACGAGATTACAACTCGCTTTGCAGAGGAGGCCATCGCTAATTGAAGCACAGCCAGAGCGACCAGAATCGCCAAAAGGGCAGAAGCGCCGGCAGCGGCTAATCCCGCCACCCACACAGCCACTGAAACAAAGGAAGGGGAGAAATCTCGTCATATAATTCCATTCGGGCTCCATTGTGATTCCGCGCTCGTGAGATCGCCACCCCGCGCCGCTTTCAGCCCCGCTACAACTTTATACTTTTTCAACGTCCCAGCTATTCCTCGCTAACGAGTAAATAACGGGACAATGGCGAGATAAGGATTGATTAATCGCCGTCTGCGGCGGATACACCGGGGATATTTGCGAACGAAGCGCGTTATGTGGAGCTTTTAATTACAGTTCACCCCGGAAGGAGTGATAATCGCTCCTTTTATTGAGAGTCAAGGCCGGAAACCGTCGATGGTTCGCGCGATGCTTAATGAAGTAGCCATCGTTAGTAGATAAAACCCGGCCGATGAACAGCGTCTGATTCTACGAGCGCATGTTTGCGCGTTAACATCGTGTAACATGGTTGGTTAAACGCGAAGATACGGTAATCCACACACGAGGAAGAAACAAGCCCGTAAATTTTCAGTGAGAATCATCTTCGGTTGTCGCAAGCGACTTTCAACGCGGCCGAATGTTCGGACGGACTGCTCGTCGCCGAACTTTTTCGTCTGGTCTCTATTTGGAGACAGTCGAAGTCGCAAGAACCGCACTGCCGTGATTTAGTTTTGAGGGTTTTTTCCTCAAAAACTGATTTATTTAAACAAAGTAATGTATGAGTACCTCGATCAAAATATTTTCCTTCGTTTCCTACAACTTTTTCCCATCTCTCTGGCGAGAGACGGATTTCGCGACGATGAAAAGATTCTTCTTTGGAATTGATCCAATTCTCAACAAATTTTCGCACTTGCTCGAAGTTATGAAAGTGTGTATCCTCTGTAGAGCACGTTGCATCGACCGGAACAAGTGATAGTCGGATGGAGCAATGTCTGGAGAATACGCGGGATGCGGTAAGACTTCCTGTTCCAGCTCCATTAGCGTTTGCTTCACTGATAATGCAACATGAGGTCGAGCATTATCCTGAAGAAGGATCACTTTGCGTCGTTTACTCGCGATTGGTGATCATTTTTGGCCCAACGCTCGCATCAATTTGTATAATTGCTGTCGATAACGATCAGCAGTGATAATTTCATTCGGATTTAATAATTCATAGTGCGCAACACTTTCTTGATCCCACCGAATACACACAGCGATACCTTTGAACCGTGAATATTACACCTCGAAGTGGGTGTTGCTGGTTGGCCTGGATCAACCCATAATTTTTTTCGTTTTGGATTATCGAAATAGATCCATTTTTCACCTCCAGTAACAAAAAACTCTTCATTTTTTGTTTGGCAATCAACGAAATGAAAATGTTCAACCGGTTCGCAATGGCATTTTCCGGTAATTGATATGGAATCCATTTTCCTTCTTTGTGAATCTTTCCTATATCGTGTAAACGTTTAGTAACCGTTGTTAGATTAACATTTAATGCTGTGGCAAGTTCTGAAGTGGGTTGTGCTGGATTTTCGTCCAATAATGCTTGCAAATCTGCACTTTCAAGGTTTACTGCCCGAGCGATCTTTGCCGTTAACATTGAAATCATCATTTTGGAATCGTCTAAACCAATATTCACGTGTCTTAATTGATAGAACATCACCAAAAGTTTCTATCAGAATTCTATGACCTTCAGCCGCCTGAATTTTCTTCTGATTAAAAAACAAGAGCAACGCATGTCGAAGATGCTCGTTAGGAAGCTCCATTTTTAAGATGATATTAATATGATTTTTGCTGCGTCTATTGTTAGTAAATGCCTAAATATCATGGATTAATATCGAAGCATTAAGAAACAATAGCTGGGATGTCTTCGACAAATGTGTCGAAGACAAAAGAGATGACATTAGTGTTATCTCTTGCAAAATCCTCAGAACTAAATCACGCTCCTGATACATCTATCGCGAAAGTTATTGAGGGTACATCAATGATCGCTCGGCGATCGTACATAAAACGAGACTCACAGACTGGCTGAAACCTGGAGAAACTTCGGCCGCACCTCTCTCGATCGTAAAGAAGGATCTTGCACTGTCTCCATGGCCCGAAGTAACCGGTCTCTATGGCAGAGCCAGCTGCAACAACACAAGTGGGAAATCACACATTGAAGATCGCCGGTGAATCAAGCGGAAAATTGCCAAGGGAAAGCGAAGGGCGCCGGGGGGAGGAAAGCAGGCGTGGACCATTTACGCGCCGCGTCTCGTTACGCGAGGCGCTCGGTAATCGCGTATCTTCGCGCTCGACGGAAATCATCGCCGGCGTGAATCTACTCGATCGCGAAACACCGTAAAATTCGAGAGCCCGTGCGAATTTGACGCGACGACGGTGTGTTTACGAAGATTTAGGAAGATATGTCTCACGGCGACGAGCCGGACTGCGAGCTAGGAAACGAGAGGGATCAAGCAGAAGGAGAAGCATCCTGCTCCCTCTGTCCTTCGCTCGACGAAGAAAGGATCGCGGCGGCCCGGACAAGTGGAAATCGCAATTTCACGGAGCTCGATTCCTCTGTTCAAGTGATCCGTAAATACGACTCATCGTGAGTGATCTCTGCCGCATCACGCCCTGTGTTTCTCCCCGCTCGATGTTCCGGAAGAGGGAAAACACTTGGCCCCCCGCCCCGCTCCGTAGGGCTTCTCGCAGAATCAAGGGATATCGAGTATCCGGAAAAGTTCTTGCCGATTTTTCCGTCAGAATTCTAGAAATTTTTATGACCGACATCCAACGTATATATGCAATACGTAACTCGAACACTAAAAAAAAATTCTATTTAAGTAAAGTGATTTCTCCCATAGTTTCATATTCTGAGCGAAGCCTTTTGTAGAAAAAGGATTCCTCTTCCGATAAAGCGATTAAAGTGAGGCATTTATCTAAAATTTATTAGACATTATTCTAACTGTTTTCCTCTTATTTCAAGAGGATTTCCTCTTATATCGATTAATTTTCCTCTTATGTGAAGAGGAATATGTTGATTGTTGAGGAATGTCGACTTCTTTTGTTCAGTCATGCTCTACCTCCGTTCAGACATAAACGAAAAAATAACCATATGCTCATGAGTCAGGATATTTGGAACGCTTTTGAAAAAAGGTATGTGTGTTGCTATAACATATAACGAATTTACCCATATTTAGTCAAATACAGTTTATAATCTATTGCAAGAAGTTGAATAGTATATTCTTCCTTTTAACTATGTTTTGTACAATTGGTTATGATGAACATTTTTGTAGCAATGAAGTCCACAACAAAATTGATTGGAAATTTATTTGTCATGATGATCAATTAAAATCGTGCTTATTTATTGTAGAACTGGAGCTAGAAGTACATCTATAATTTATATAATATATATATATATATATATTACTTTTCGCTATATATACATTATAATAATTTTTTTCAAATTAAATAATCTGTGTATAAAAGGAAATTTATATTAAAGTCAATAAGATTTGCATCATACATGTAACATATAATCCCTCTAACTTTAAGAATAATGTTTATAATATTTTCCTCTTAATGTGTTTATATTATTTTCCTCTTAGGCCTTGAGGCCATATGTAAGAATAAAATCCTTTAAAATTTAAATAATTCCGCTTGTTCTGACATTACTCTTTTATGTGTACTATAAAATACATCCCTGGAGTTGTTCAATTGTCACATTTAGAGCAGTAAACATCAATCTGCGTGAATTTTTTACGCGTTTAGTATGGCTAACCAAAAACAAATTAATCCTGCGTGTTTGTTATACGAGTTCAAATGTCCCAACGCATCAGAGGGTTTTTAAATGACGAGGGTCTGAGGGCTGCGATCGAGGCGAATTCGGAATTGGCCCGCGGAGGACTCGTTACTATATTTAATGTCAGTGAAATCACACTTAATGTTAGCTTTTCTAATTTTCCACACGAAACACGGCCGAAACTTTTTCGATACCTGATAGATATTGCGCTCGCCGACGGGCGGCTTTGCGCACGCGGAACTCGATATTTGCGTTGAAGATTATATTTGCACGCCACCGGGAACTGGCGGGAAAGTCGGAAAGCGTGCTTTACGCACGACCGGCGCGTTAATCGCTCGCCCGGCCAATACTCGCGCGCGGCTGTGAATTAAATTGCGCTTACTTCGCGAATAATTCACGCGCACACGATAATCAGCCTTTTTGCATCGAAGCTGCTGCCGCTGACGAGAGCGTCTCTTTCTGGTACGCGAAACAATGAACCGTAACCTCGTAATCGCGTCGGCAGTGATTCTCGTAAATTTTATTCGACATTTGACATCCGCGGGGAGCGCGCGACGCAACGCGTTTGCATTTTTCGAAGAAGCCGGCTCATTTCGCGATAAACAGGATATCTCGCCCTCGGCGACAGAGCACGCGTGCGGCGCGATTTTCCAGGTTCATCTGCCCGGTCGTGCACGCACGATTGCGCTCGTCAGAGACGCAAATTCCAATTTACTCGATCACGTCCTCTCGGTGTCGCGACGATACTCGTCGGGAGCCGCGCGAGATTGAATCCACGAGGAAGTTATTCCGCAGGAGTCAATCTCGCCGAGTCGAGGCTCGCGACTCGCGAAGTGATGTTCCCGATGCATCCCGACGGCAGGAGGAGGGAGGGGAGAAGGGCAATCTTCACGCGCAAGCTCTTGCCGAGTGATCCACATCGCGCGCGTCGAGTGACCTTCGCCCGGGGGGAGCCGCGAAGCCCCACGTGTGTGAGATTTCCACGCCACTCGCGATTAACATCGCCGGCGCTGACATCGTCGGGATGTGGATCTCGCGAGAGCTCGGCCGTTGATTCGCGATTTTCATAATCGACTTCTCACCGCTCGCGCCAAGCGCGAGCCGTCACATCGCGTCGCGAGTCACTCCGGCAGAACTCGGCGTAGATTCGTTGTTTGTCCCGCAAATTGAAACGCAGAAAACACAAACTCCTCATTTCGAAAGATAACATGCTCCGCGGGACGATGTGTTTCTTTTTCTCCGAAGAAAAAAATATCCGAGTGGACGCCGCCTACGGGTCTTCAGACCGGGTCGCGCAGATTTTGCGCAGCTAACTCGCGAATCGCCGTGATCGAAGCGCCGGTGTTTGCCGCAACGCGATGAGCGACGTCGGGATAATTAATCGATTAAGGGCTCGCAGTCGGCCGAAGCGATCGGCGCCCGAGCGAAGATAATGAGCAACTATTAAAATTAACGAATCGTCATACGTGCGACGTGCGAGTAACGCGATTGATCGGTCGATGAAGTTACGGCCGTCGTTCGGCCGTTCCACGTTTTGGTCAACGAAAATTTCGCAACCGACTAACACTCACAGATATTTGTTAGGACATCAACATTAATTGAGTCGCGAGTTTGCCAGTTGAGGTGCAGATTGACCGTGGCGCGAGATTCCAGAGGGAAGCGCAGTTGTTAACATAGCGCATTTCATCGAGCTGAAGCGCGAGCGTGTTATTTCAACGGGTCGTCTTTGTGTTAACATTAACATACAGGTCAGTGTGACGGATTGCTTACGCCCATTCGAACGATAAGGGGTTGCTAATAAAAAGTCACTCGTTAATCTTGCCGATAATGATATTTAAAGTGTTCCCAGTTATGACGAATGCAACTAATTTTGCACCGTAATCGCTTATGACAGCAGTCGAGCCTCATTAAATTGAAAAAGAAAAAGTATTTAAAACAGCAAAACTAAGAAATAAACATTACCAATTTAACCCTTTCACTATTAGTGGGAAATATACTTCCCAGCTTTTCTTGATTCAATTTTGCGTTGTAAATCACATAATTTTGAAGAACTAATCGGGGATCTGAGTTTTCTAAATAACTGAAAAGTTGTTCAACATACTCCAATAGGTTTTTATACCCAATTATTCATTTGTGATTATTTATAACAAATCAAAGTTGAAAAAAATGCTTTTTTTAGGGAAAAATCGATTCCTCGGAGAGTATTGAATGTAGAGGTCTAAAATTTTCACCAAATATTTTTCTGATGTTGTACAAAAACATATATTTTTTTCAGTATTTTTTTGCAAGTTAGATTTTCTTTTATAAACAAATATTTCTACAAAAACAGCTGAAATTTGATTTTTTTGCACTTTTTAGCTCTATTTTCCTAGTTTCTTCATTCTGTATCTCCATCTCTTATCCATACTATCAATATTATTTTATTCAAAAATGAATGTTTAATCTCTAGTAAGCATAAATATGCAGTATTGAACATTTTTCCACATACATTTTTTCCAGCTCGATCGAGTTCCAGATCGTCTAGAATCATATGTTCTTATTACGACCTGGTCATTATTTAATAATAATTGGAATTTTCATTAATTTTGTATATCATGATCGCCATATTGAGTCCGCTATTTTGAATTTTGCAAATCTGACTTTAGATTCGTAATCAGCGACCCAGAAAACGTAGGATTACCAAATATTTTAATTTTCTCAAGGAAAGTTAATTCAGCAGTGAAAGGGTTAAGCAGAGTAAATAAGAATAATTAAGGGGGTCAATAATGCAACATGTTTTCTTGTTTCACATAATTTCTTAATTTCTTTCTCGCATTGGAAAATTTGACAGGAATTGGAGGAATTAGATAAAATGGTACAGAAATATTTAGAAGTCTTATGTACTGTATTTCATCGCTTCTGCAAAAATATGAATCGGCCGGAAACGCAGCATAAATTGTTGATCGCAACTTAATTTATGATAAATATTAAGCGACATATTTTCGGTGATCTCGTATTTTGACGTCTCTTTTATCAAAAATAGCGTTTGTCTCTCGAAGTTGTGCAGCATGTAAATAAATCAGAAGACTCTTAAGCCACTTTTTTCGACAAAAGAAGTTCAGAATACGAGCATTCTATACTCTAATGAGGAATTCTCAATGAGGCTTGGCTATTGTAAGGCTTGGCCTATTGTAAATGATTCAAATGCAAATTTAATCATCATAACTGGGAGCACTGCAAATATTGTAATCGACAAAATCAATGAGTGACATTTTGAGCAATCTCTGTATTATCGTCTAAATGAGGGCAGATAATCCGTCGTATTGACCAGTATGTTAATGTTACACCTTTATGTGCTTCGATCTT